CTTGAAGGGTGTTACACCAGAACTGATAGCAGGAAACAAGCTGCAAGCTGCCAGGTGTGAGTGAAACGGAGAAACAAATAGAGGTGATATAGGACCCTAACTCACAGTAAACGCACTCTTTTTCTGGACTTCATAACATGTTATTAGTTCCTTGTCACACACACAATAAGGGCCAAAAAAAATCCTACTGGGAGTGACAAAGAAGAAGAAGAAGGAGAAAAGGGGAACGGAGAGACAAACTGTCAAAAGAAAGGAAAAGAGGTCTGCATATTCTTATACAACAAACAGACTTCCAACAATCCCCTCCACTGTGGCTCAGTGACATTGTGAAGGTTGGCTGCTTTTATCTGCAGAGCTGTGAGAGGAAAACTGGAGAGGAGGCCAAATAGATAAAGTTTAATGAGAGGGAGGAGAAAAACAGGCAGGCTCCCCGGGCAGCCGAGCTGAGAGCGCTGAGAAATCACTCCCATACAAAAAAACACACTGTTACTTATTTTTAAAAAATGAACCATTCAACTGCAGCTTCCACCCGAGAATTACGCACTTGATGTAGTATCTCCATAAAGAGTGTGTTTAATGAATAGCTCCAAAAGACGTTTTCTTTGAAGTAACAGCCTCGAATACTTGACCAAGTTTTGAAATAAGACGACGCTTATCAAATAGGACAACATGGAAATAAGCAGGAGAGGTGTACAACACAGAGAATATTCACGATGTAATTTATGCTGCTTTCACATCAAAGAAGCTCCGCTCTGTTTTATGCTGGTGACGGTTATCTTACATTATCAGCGCAACGGGAACCTGTGAGAGAACAATCAAAAGGATTTGACCTGAAGAACGACACCAACAGATGCTGCACTTACTGCACTCGTTCTTTGAACTTCTGTCACATCAAGTCTGAATAAGATGACTGATAATGAGCCTTATTGTTATCATTCTAAACACTTCTATAGTCAGTGAAGTTTCACTGATAGGGGCTTTCACAAACTCTTGAAAACCTCCTGATATTTCCAGGAGGAGCTGCATGTGTGAACGCCAACAGTCCTAATGATCTGATGTGAGAGCGCAGCAGGATATTCTCTGGAGAATTCAGCTCGAGCCAATAAGAGGGGTGTTGATGTTTCTATCCTGTGACTGCTGCCCCCCCCCCCCCCTTTATATGTCACAATTGTAAAATGATTTGGCTTAATCCTAAATTGTAACATTGTTAGCTCATAGGAGATGACTTCTCTCTTCTCTGAAACTCATCTATTTCCTTTTCTGTTACATCTTTCCGTCTTTCCACACGTGATCCACTCTTTGTCCTCTATGTCCCTTACTGTTATTTAATAGTGTTTCCTTAAACTATTGGTATGAGTTTGAAGCTGCAAATTGTCAGTAGTGACCAAGAAGACTCATTACACAGTGTTATATAAGCTGGTTGTGTACATTGAATGTGCTCATCACGCCTCTCTCTCTCTCTGCAGCTGAGCAGCCCTTGATGAGGTGGATCTTTACTCTCACCGTCTCTGTTCAGTAATGGGCTTCAAGGGAATCTGATTGGACGGCATCTGAGTAACTATTTCATAGGACAACATAAAACGAAGGGCAGATTATGTGCTGCATCATCAGATCTTTAAAAAAAATGTGTCTTAGCTTAACTGAACAAATGAGAGGATCCTTAAGTGTACATAACGAGGGTCAAAAGATCTGAAACATGTTACACACACAGAGACAGAAGTGCTGAATTTGCCGTTTTATCAAACAGGGTCATTTGTGCAATTAAGGCCACCGCAATCGATGGTGAGGTCGGAAAAATATGTATCCAGAAATAACTCAGCAACTAAGATGTTTTTAAAAAAGTGTTTTTGTGGCGGCTCTTTTGGTCCAACCACAGCACTTGTGAACGCAGGATTTTGCCGCTGAGTGAAGTGACTCTATGCTGTTCATCACTCGTCTCCTAATGCAGTTTATAGCGTCTTTAATCTTTGGCATGATATCAAATAAGAGTTGAATGAGTTCTCACGGGACGTGCCAGCACAGATGTACACCCTGAGGACACTTTTGTGAAATGGGGCGTATTAAAGAGAGAAAAAAAATCATCTTTCCTTTCAAACAGTAAGTCAACTGTTATGTAGAGTCTTTAAGTTCACTGACACATTATTTTAAGACTTCAACACTGAGGTATGTTCAGGGTTTATTTCTTAGGTTTATGGATGCATGTGTGGCATGAGGCTAAATGTGTGCAGGCTTGACTGAACTGCTCTGCGTGTTTCTGGGTATGAAAGCTGTGGGACTGACAGTAAACTAAGAGAAGACACGGAAGAGGAAGAAGAGTTATGTATCAGATGCACTTTTAATACCTATTTTTTCATCTTAAAAGTTGGCTGTGTCTTATACACCGGTGTGACCAATACACCAGCATAAAATACTGAAACACACGCCATCATTACAGTGGGGGCAGCAGCCCCTATCACTGTGACCTGAAGTGATTAAAAAGCCATCCCCATTCATTGTGTATTGAAAGCTGAGTGCACGCTGTGCTGGGAAAGACGGCGACACAGACCAGGCTGTTGGTGACCTCACGAGGTCATAATCATGCTTTTACAGAAAACAGTGGTATATTGTTCCGTAAATAAACCTTGTGGAGTGTTCTTTTGATTGAAAGAGTCCTACATTAAAGTTAAAGAGTGATCAGTGGAGTAGGGCAGCGACCTGCAAGCTAGCAGGTCTGTGCCTCTGCCAACTTTCCCTGCAGGCTGAGAGCTCAACTACCGTACTGTAGCTAGTAGGAGTGCAAACTCCCCAAAGTGAAAACAGACGGAACTAAAAGAGCGACACAGCTGTACAGAAACTGCACAGTTTTTTTTCTCTCAAAGAGACCTTCAAAACAGGGTGCATCTTATACACCGGTGCGACTTATATTCCGGATTTTACGGTAAGTAGCTTAGAGGCCTCGCATTGACTAGCTTCCGGTCAGATCAGTCGAATGAAGCGCAGCAACTGGACGCAAACCATAGTTTGCAGTGCATCGATACCTCTGGAAAGCCGGGTTGGCATAGAGAGGGGGAGCTCCTGGGATGCTTTGAGTCACTTTACAGCCCTCTGGAGGCGTCATAAGCTCATTTTGAAAATGTTCTAGGAAATGTGGGAACATAGGGATGTGGGAACATAGGGCTGACCCCGGATCTTAAGTGCTACAAAATGGTTCACTTCTTTTTTTTTTAAGATTTATTTTTGGGCTTTTTGTTCCTTTATTTGAGAGACAGGACTGTGGACAGAGTCGGAAATCAGGGAGAGAGAGAGAGTGGGAATGACATGCGGGAAAGGAGCTACAGGTCGGATTTGAACCTGGGCCGCCCCGCTTGGAAGACTATAGCCTCCATGCCTCCATACATGAGGTGAGTACACAGAGAGTTCTAGCTAGTACACAAGTATCCCATAAGAAACTCACTGCCGTGTGTTGAATCATTCAGTCCAACTTTATTGTCTAGGACAGACACCATCACCATGCGATCTGCCGTGCTGTGCCAGCGTGATTTGGAAGAGAGAGAGGAAGTGACCTTGTGAACAAGATGTTTATGATTAGTGGGTTGAGTTCTGATTGGTTGAGAGATTTAGCGGAGTAAAGGTGAGATTATCAAAAGTTTAAGAAAAAGGAAATTCATTAATGAGTAACAGAAATGAAATTAAAAACCATTCATTATGATTATGTAGGTTCACAGAGGTCACTCCTCTCAGAGGCTGGAAGGCTAAAATATACAATGTACCCGGGTTACACTTCAGGTGAACTTGCTCCGGATCAGGTTAATCTTGGGAACAATAGCGACGTATTGCGAACTCTGTTGCTTCGTCAGCTACTTCCACATTGTTTATTTACGTCAGGAGACTCCCCGCCCCCCCGTCCCGTCTCACAGAGATAGTCTCCCCCTGTGAGGGAGAATGTGAACAGCAGTCCTCCTGAAATGAGCTACATATTTTTAAGAGTGCAGATGTGAAAAGGGCTCAAGTCAGGAGAACTTTACACAAAGACATCTTATATGTCTATATTTGATTTTTTAAGGAAAAAGCTACTGACACTATCTTTAAGAAACTGTAACGTCGAGATCATCTGATGAAAACTGATATAAATATGTAGCTCTGTCTGTAAAGGCTTTTTCAAAGATGAGTGCCCAGCAAAGCATGTGGCACACACACACACACACACACACACACACACACACACACACACACACACACACACACACACACACACACACACACACACACACAGTCACAGTGTCTGCTCTGCACTGATGACAGACATGAGACATAATGAGGAAGTAATGATGATAATTAGTTTGAGGTTCTGTGCCATTAGGGGAGTAATTGATCTTACAGTCCTCCTCTACCTGAAAGAAGAATCAGTTTACACATAGACCTCTGCACACTTAACCTTACAACCCCAAACAAGAAGGACATCAGGATGCAAGCTCAGCTTTTTTTTTTTTGCATCCATCTTTCACCCAATATCCCGCGTTTATTACGTTTAAGGCTTTGACTGAAACATGGGCACAAGCTAACCTCTAGGTATAGCCTTGAACGTTGCCCATCATGAATGTTTCATCGAGGCGATTTAACTTCTTTTAGAGGGCAGATAAGTTTCATTCTTGTCCCATTTCAGTTTTCTTTGTTGTTCACCTTGTAGACACAGTCTGAGAGGAGAGAGTGCACACAAAATTAATCTTATTTTCTCAGTGAAATCAATGTGTCAGAAAATCATTTATCCTCGTTACTGAAGGAGATAGATAACTCCTGGATAATTGTTTATGCTCAGATCATTGGATATTCCAAAGCCTGACTCACAGATTTTTTTTCACGTGGCTTCTAATGATTATAAATGACCTTGTTAGCATATTTTGTTTGTCCAAATCTGAAATACGTCTACTCCCTGCTCATTAAGGATAGACTAATTAGTACAATCCTGCTGTGTGCCTCGTAAGCTTTCTGCGAGACCCGTTTTGACCTCTAAGTGTACGTACCTCATGCCTTTGGTGGAGTGGTTGTGAAAGTTTTGCAGCAGCTGCGGGAGGCCGAGCATGGCCTCGAACATGACAGCGAGGGAGCCCTGCGTCTCCACGAACACGGGAGAGTCCAGGAGCAGCAGGGTGACGACGGTGCACAGCACGGTGAAGCCAAAGCAGAAGAGCAGGTAGTCCTCGAACGCACTCCACTTCCAGAAGTAGCGAAAGTCCAAATCTGGAGGAGAGATGGAGAAGCAGAAACAGAGAAAGAATTTCAAGAAAAGTCAATGATTGTCCTCAGTAAAGCTTATAATGTGAAAAAAAGAAGAGTCAGGTAGAGAAGAGAGGAAACAAGGTGAATAAAGGGAAGCTAGAATTAAGAAGGAATAAATGAGAATGAGCCTGAAGATATGATCATATAAAGACGCTTAGTGTGTGTGTGTGTGTGTGTGTGTGTGTGTGTGTGTGTGTGTGTGTGTGTGTGTGTGTGTGTAGTGCTGAAAGGAAAGACGGTGCACACACAATGTGGAGATGGAAACAGAAGAGCCACATTGACAGGCAAAGATTGAAAGTAGTGAGGCTAATATAACGGGAAAACGACAGCAGGAGGAGGAGAGAGCAGGAATGAGAACGCTTCATTAAAGGATGCATAGAAATTCTGCAGAGACAGCACTCCTAAATCAATACTGCACACACGCATAAGTGGATGGAACAAAGACAAATGAGATACTCGAAAGCTTTTACATTTCTATTACTTTGGAATAACCTGGCCTTTGGCGTAGCTGGGCTATACATTTAGAAAGTTTATTACCTTTTGGTTTGAAGCGAGCTTTTCCACTGACTCAACTCCATTTATCATGTGCAGCTTTGACCACTCAGGGGTAAATACTAAGACCAAAGCTGACTAGAGCTGTTGTTAGTTTTCAGAGAAAGGTTACTTAAAGGTAAGAAGTGGCCAGCAGAAATGAAGAGTTTGGTAATAGGTAAGGCCTGATTCTAACTTTATTTGGTCAGGAAGGAATCAAAACATCGAGACTCATTCTCCAACTGAAATGTCTTTTTACAAACCACTTACACAGTTTTCAATAAGACTCTGACTTTCACCAAAGTTTTTTTTTTTTTATCTTGAAATGGATTTTAAGAAAGAACGAAATCTGAGGGTCTGCTTCACAAAGGGCTTGTGCAGCTTTTGAGCTAAAGCTCTGCACATGAGTCAAAAAGACGCCGTCTAATACACAAAACATGTAAACACACACGTACGGTTGAATGCATCCCAAACTGCCCTGCAGGGTAAACATGGCCTCTGTGCAGTGTAGTATTTATCAGGATCTGCACGAGCAAACTTTCCGGTGATGAGAAACAATTCCACCTCTGCATGACATAAAAAAATATCTGTAAATGTTAATTTGACATATCTATTATTGAAATGTGTGAGGATCAGTTTGTGGCTGTCAGTGGCTCCAGACTGCCACAGACGTGTGGAGACACAGTCTGAATCTGTGACAGACGACAACTAGAAAAGTTTGTTCCTTTTTTTCTCTGAGTTGGCCTTGCATATTGCTCGCTTCATGGCATGTAATCTACTAAATCAGCTCATTTGTGTTTCAATAACAGAACAACTACTAAAGTATTGGATATGGGCTTCAGTGCACATATCAAACATCATCATAATGTGGCCATTCTTAACATCTCTCTACTTGTCTTTGTTAATCCTGTTAGTTTGGGATTGTGCCCCATGACCTTGCAGTCTCAGGACCCTGCAGTCTCATGACCCTATATGAGCATTAAAGGGGTGTTTTTATATGCTAATTAGGAGAAATATGAACAAACCTCCAATTTACAAGACAAATTTGCCAACAGACGTGTGAACAATTCTGCAGGTTGAGAATCTTTGGTAATGTTTTCTTACATTCTTAAGAAGTAATTTAAAGAAACATCTTAGGGCGATATCGGTGAATGAGACCCGGCGTCTCTGGTATCATCCTCCAGAGCTTGAATGCTGCTTCATGTGCACATCTGAAAGCTTATGAGAGGAAACATTAGACTTTCTACATCTACATTCCGGTCACCGTCAGCTCCCTCCTCAATGGACCATAATGTTGACGATGATTGACGATCTCTCATTGCTTATGTATGACCGTGGAGCTGTGGCAAACCAGCTGACATAAGCTAAAGGGGATTGATGGCTAAATAAGAGCACATTAGTTAGTGTGGGGACTCGAGTGTGACACTGCATGCTGCCAAGCTCCTGACTTCACTATGTGCTGCTTGTTACCTCCACACTCACTGCAAAGCATTACACGTACTGTACATCTGCATGTGTGTCTTTGTCCTTGGATTTCTTTTCAGAAGAGAAACTCATATTGACTGAAAGGAAATAAGAAAAGTCTCAAATCTGTCAGTTTTAGCTCGTTTATGTATCTTGTATTACTTTTTCATCTGTTGAATGGTATAAACAGAGTGAGGGTCGTACTCATTCAACTCAACAGCGACAGCTTTCTATGATTTCTTCCTGCTGACAACCTTGGCTTCATGTTTTTCCCACTTGTTCATTCTCCACATTTCCTCCACTGTCGGCTATTCATTAAAGGCACATGGACGAATACAAACATAGAAAATAGTGAATAATAAAATCTCCAAACAGGCCAAGGTGATTTTGTTATAAATATTCAAAGTCATTTCAAATCAGAAAAGCAGCAAATCTCTGAAAAGGTGGAACCAAACGACTGGTATTAACAAAGAGGAATGACTTTAACAACAAAAGTTGAATAAGTAAATATATATTATTCTGTTGGTCAGGACTCAGGTTAGGATTAAAACAGTATTCACTGAAGCTGAAATATTTAAACTGTTAGTGGATTGATTTACTGAAATATGTTGGTGAGGGTTAAAACGATCAAATGAAAAACACAAAGTATTTGTCTTTTAAACATCTGTTTATTCTCACTACTCAATGTAAACAGGCGCACTAATTTGAAACAGATTAGTTAATGAATAAAAAGTGGATGAAAACAAATCAATTCTTTAACCACATAACAAGAGAAAAAAAAAACAAGAGTGTGCCAATTACTCCCATGATCTCAAACAATCTCGCCCCATGGTTCCCAACCTTTTTCAGCTTGTGACTCCACTTTGACTTCACAAAAACTCTGGAGAACCCAGACATCCAAAACACATTCAACTTTTTGATAAAACAAATACAATTTCAATCATATGACAGTTTTTTCTTTTGTGTTTCAAGTAAACATTGGTTTGAGTACATATTTAGGCTATTTCAGGTTTATTATTATGGCAGGGGCCATACCTCAGTGTATGATATCCAGCCAGGTGAGCGTGTATTTACAAGGCTGGAAATGAATGCTGGACGCATGAGGCAGCGATGAGCGACAGACCGAGATACTGTATGTTTGTTAGTTTTTAGCGTGAGCTACGGCCCACAGTAGCTCAAGAACCAGATAACATCTTGTAGCTCAATTAAGGCAGAATGCTCCAATATGCTTTACTGATCAATAATCAGACATTTCAGGGGACCCTTTTGAATTCCATGAGGGATCAGAACAGCAAGGTTGGGAAAGCCTGATCTAACCTCTGGGAGCGACAGTCAAATAAAGTTGTCAGTAAGCATAACAGACGTCCAGTCAAGACTTCCTTTTCAACATGCTGCATTGTTTAGAGTCTCCCAACGTGGCCAAGTGATGATAGAGAAGGAGTCAGAAGATAGCAGCAGGTTTTTAGCTGTTTAAAGAGGCCAACACTACAGTCAGTAAGGCCATTCCTATTGTTTAGTAACACATCAAGATTACATTCATCTTGATGTGTTGTATCTCCATTTGTTCTTTTTTAGGCACAGTTTATTTGAACTTAACCCTTATCCACTTAAACTATAATAATATAATACAGTTCATGGCTTTTGTATTTACTTATATTTAATGCTCTTTTGTGTTTCTCATCTTGTCCTCTAGTGTTGGAGCAAACAACTCCAGCATTTCTTGTAGCATCTTATCTCTTATCTTCTCTGTCTGAACATTGAAATCATCTCAGATACATTCATAGCCACACAGAGTATTCAGCCAGCACTCACACACACACACACACACACACACACACACACACACACACACTGAGCTGGCAGAGGACTGGGACGTGTCCCCTTCTGCTCCAGTGGGCTGCATCTACTGTTGCATCCTGGGACAGTCGGAGTGAGACATCTTGCAGCGTGTGCAGTGTGGCGTGTTTGTGGCAAACAGCGAACGTGATAAATGACTTTATCATCGAGAGCCACAAAAGAGCTCATCTCCGGCTGCTGACAACAGACATGTGAGGTGAGAGAGGAGACACACCCACACACACACACACACACACACACACACACACACACACACACACACACACACACACACACACACACACACACACACACACACACACACACACACACACACACACACACACACTGTCAGATATCGGCTCTCAGGGCACAACTTATGCTGTTCTCACAAACTAAGACACAGACCAAACCAAGAAGCTTCAAACAAAGAGCCTGACACTTATCAGCCAGGCACATCTCAGTGCACATACTCACAGCTCCATTTACTCAACGACATCAACAACAACAACAAACAGCATCCAGCCTGAGTGTCTGCAGCCACTGGCGGCTGGCAGAGGGAGGCTTATTATCAGCATCATAAAAAGCCTTTTTCTTTCTCCATTTGAATGGGGCCTCGCTGCTAAAGCATAAACATGCTGACAGCAGCAACAATAAGAATAGTGCTTCAAAACTACTGTTGATTCCTCAGTAAAGCCCCCTGCTGAGCTCCTCACAATTCCATCTCTTCATATTTTAATTCTGCTTCCTTTTCCTCTCTCTGCTGTTTATCTGCAACACACACACACACACACAGACACACACACACACACACACACACACACACACACACACACACACTCACACATTGAATGTGTATTTAATGTGTGTCTTGGTTTGTGGTTTTAATAATTGAAGCAGCCACCAGCCACAGTGGAGCTGGAACAGGCTCCTCAACACCACACGAGTGAGACCAGTCAGAGTAAAGAGAACCAAGCAGCTGATTTATACTTTACCACTGGTTAGGTAGTGTAAAAACAGCAAGCTTTGGACAAACATTATATAATTTCACATTAAATCTCGACAGCCAGGACAGGAAGCTATAATCTCCTCCATCACCTGAGAAGGCCACAGTGGGTACACTGTGAGTC